CTATGAGTCGGCATCGACTTGATGGCAGTGGATTTGGTTTTTGGTTTAAACGTGACTGAGTAGGAGTGGCCAGAGCAGGAGTAGAACGAAGAGAGTGGTATCCTACTGTGTTGGAGAAAGAGAACCATCAATTCAGCTGATAATGGAAGAAAATGAGGACTAGATATTCACCCCTGGATTTAGCAACATTGAGGTTATTGATGAACTTCGCAAGAGAAGTTTCAATGAAGTATTGAGGGCAAAACATTACAGTTGGAGGAAGAAAAAAAGGAAGAGAAATTGAATACAGTAATTATAGTCAGTATTATCAAAACAAAACTATGAAAATATAAACCATCTGATATTTGTGTTGATTCTTGTCTTAGTGATGTAAGTGCCTTGAAATGGGATCTTCTGGGTTTTGGGACTGGTCTGTGTTTTCTATACAGAGCTGCTCAGTCTATCAGGTATCTCTGCTAGAAACCCCTAACAGCCTCTTCAGTGCACATGCACATCATGGCACATAATGGTACTAATGAGGTGAGAACACAAAGTTTATTGGATTTAATGTAACATACTAACTTAGAATACTTAGAAATCTTATGCAATCCTACGTGGTATCTGGAATAACACAAAATCAACAAAAGACAATTGATCCAGGACCGTTTCTATTTTTTAGTCTTTTCCAATGTCTCATTAAATGACCTCAGCCTTGTTACTGTAATGAGAATAAGAGTAAGTGCCATGTGGTAAAACAATTCCAGTTGTGATGATCAATCTTTGCCTTGTTTCCCTTTAATGTGAGCCCCCATTTAGAGACTAACCTTCCTATTTTGTCTCTACTGATTTGATATTTTCTTGTAATCACATTTCATTCTTTGTTCTGTCAGCGTCCAACCATGGACCACCTTTTCTTCTCATCTCTGGATATCACTTTTTTACATTTGTAGCGGTTCTCAAACTCTAGTATACTTTGAAAAGTTCCTTGTACCAGGCTTCCAGGAAAAGTAGGCATTCTCCCAAATCCTAAGCAGGGAGTGCCTCTTGGCAGATTATGAGCACTCAGTTAACTAGTTGCTAAATGATTTTGATTTAATAGAAGAGTTTGTCCAGTGGCTGTGGGTTAGCATGGTCTTCCCTGAAGGCGGTCAGAGAACAGAGCTCATTAGAAGCCGAGGTCAGAGAGGTAGCAAGGGACCAGATAATTTAGAGCGTTGTATGCCAGAGTGAGGAGTTGGGGTTTTATTCTGAGTTCATTGAGAGCCATTGGGATGGTATGTTCTGACTTATATTTTGAGAAGATCAGTCTTGTTGCTCTGTGGGAGAATGGATTGTTTGTAGGTGGGGGCTGAGTGGGGGGTAGAAGCAAGGGGCCTGTTAGGAGGTTATTGCAATAATCCAGGTGGAGGCCGGTGGTGGCTAGGTATCCAGTAGTGTCAGTGGAGGTGGTGAGAAGTGATCATATTCTGCAAATATTTTAAACATATAGCCTCTAGGATTTGTTGATGTATTGGGTATGGGATAGGAAAGAAAGAGAGGGGTCCTGGCTAACCCCAAGTGTTTGCTCTGAGAAACTGAAGAATGGAGTTTACTGTCAAGCGAGATGAGGAAGACCGAGGGAGGAGGTCTGGGGGAGAGAAGATCAGGACGCTACATTTGCTAAGTTGGATAGCATCATATCAAGTAGGCATTCCACGTATGAGTCTGGAATTGAAGGTGTAACTCTGGGAATCATCATACCCAGACTTGTGTCCTAGGTTCTGCTTCTCAGATGCACTGTGGGAGGCTGACTGGCAGTTGAGTGAGTGCCTGAGCAAATGGGGGAAGCAAGAGGCACTGCACAGTTGCTCTTCTGGTGAAGGGGGCAACTGAGATGCCTAGTTTTTAGAAGAGCAGTGGCAGAGGGTCTGGCAGTAGTGTCCAGGGCCCAGCCTCTGCAGCTCAAGCTGTACATGGAGACTGGGACCCAAGCTAGCGTCAGTGGGACGCTCTAATGGAGCAGACCTATACTGGACTTCCAGCATTATTCCTGGATGGGTAACCTCCAATTCTCTGGCTTTCTTGGAGATTCTGTGAAATGCATAATACCTTTGAATAAATGGTTTTTGTTTTTTTGTTTTTTTTAATTAAACCAATTAGATTGGCCTCTGTTGTCTGCAACTAGGAGCCGTGACACAGATATTCCTGTGTCAGGTCACCTCCTCCTGCTGCTCCTGGTCTCTGCCACATGGAGCCGCTGTGGAGAAACTTTTACCCTCAGGCACCCACCTTGGTCCACTCTGCTGCAAAGCTTCCAGGTCCCAGGTAACTGTGCAGGCTGGCTTGGTGCTTTGAAGGGCCACAATGCCACTCCTTCCTAGATCAGCTGGGGCTGTGCATGTGCTGGTTTCCCAGCTTACAACCCTTAGCACTTTTTTTATGTCTTGTACCCAGACATCTTCTAAAGTCCCACATGCTCCAATATGTCCTGTCCAGGGTCAGGACAAGGTGGTTTTAACACATGTCCACAAATTTTTTGATAGCCGTCCCATCAACAGAAAGATTATGCCCCATCCTTTTGAAACTGGGCAGGTCTTTGTGACAAAGTGATGCCGTGTTTCTTCCAAGGGTAGGTTAGAAGAGGCTGTACATATTCTGCTAGTTCTCTTTGGACACTCGCCAGCTGCTATGTAAGAAATCAGGTGACCCTGGGTCAGCCATGTGGACAGCACAAATGGAGAGACCACGTAGAGAAAGGTCTGAGGAGCCTAGCTGTTTGAGTCTTCCGAGGCAAGGCACCAGATGTGTGCGTGAAGAAGCCCTGAGACAACCCCTGCCCCAGTCCTTGTGACTGCAAATGCTGAGAGGCCGGAATGGGACTGCCCAGCTGAGTTCAGTCAACCTCCAGATTCATAAGCAAAACAATCAACAATTGTTATGTAAGCCACTATTTGGGGGTTCTTTCTTAGCTCATGGTGACCCCATGAGTTGCAGAGTAGAACTGCTCCATAGAGTTTTCTTGGCTGTAATCCTTACCAGAGCAGGTTGCTAGGAATTTCTTCCATTGTGCCACGGGGTGGATCCAAACTGACAATCTTTAGCTTAGTAGCTGAGTCCAATCAACTTGACAGCAGTGGGTTTGGTTTTTGTTTTCTTATATAGCAATAGATAACTGAATACTTAGTCTTCTGTATTCAATGGCAAAAGGAATTAAAAACCTGGGCAGCAACTAATTTTGGAATATAATATAGAAATGGACATTCCTATTATTCAAACCATTGAGTTCTATCCAAGACTGAACCCAGAAACCATATTGAAGAGAATACTTGCATGAAAAATAAACCCTGTCTTCAGGATGACAGCTGTGCTTTAAAAAAAAAAAGGAAAAGCCAAAGAAGCCAGTTGTCACTGAGTCAACCACAACTCATGGCAACCCCATGTGTGTCAGAGGAGTGTTATGCTCCTTAGGGTTTTCAATGGCTGATTTTTCAGAAGCAGATCACCAAGCCTTTATTCCAAGGTGCCTCTGGGTGGCCTTGAACCTCCAACCTTTTAGTTACGGCTGAGTGTATTAACTGTTTGCACCACCTGGCAACTCCCAATAATAAAAGCACATAATGTTCATTCATTGAGCATCTTCTGTGAACCAAGTGCTAGGCACGCAGCTAGAGGAAGACAGGCAAGGTCTCTTCTCCTGAATCTTACGTTTTAGTAGGGAAGGGAGAGGTAGTATGGGAACGAGGTACACAATAAACATTAAAAACAGAATATGTTGGGTTATGACAAGTGCTGTGCTGAGATTAAAACCCTTTCAAGACCTAACTATTTTCTGCTTTGAATTTTTTGTTGATACCATGTGTTTTCATTAATGGAAGCATACTGAATCATTGAGTGTGTCTGAATTTTTGGTAGGTAGTATGAATTTTTTTTCTTGCCCCCTCCATGTCATGGGTTGAATTATGTCCCCCCAAAAATGTGTATATCAGTTTGGCTGGGCCATGATTCCAGGTATTGTGTGATTTTCCTGTATGTTATAAATCCTACGTCTATGATGTTAATGAGGGAGGATGGGCGGCAGTTGTGTTAGTAAATCAGGACTCAATCTACAAGATTGGATTGTGCCCTGAGGCAATCTCTTGAGCTATAAAAGAGAGAGGTGAGCAGAGATACAGGGGGACCTCATACCACCAAGAAATTCGTGCCAGGAGCAGAGTGTGTCCTTTGGACCCAGGGTACCTGTGCAGAGAAGCTCTTAGTCTGGGGGAGGAGTGATGAGAAGGCCGACAAAGAGCGAAAGCCTTTCCCTGGAGCTGACGCCCTGAATTTGGACTTTTAGCCTACTTTACTGTAAAGAAATCAATTTCTCTTTGTTAAAGCCATCCGCTTGTGGTATTTCTGTAACAGCGGCACTAGATAACTAAGACAGTGGGTTTAAACCGCCAATCTTTTGGTTAGTAGTCATTTGTACCACCCAGGGACTCCAGCCACCCATTTGCCTCTGGGTGGCGTTTAAAGCCCAGACTAGTTGAGATCACCAGGAAAAGTGCAAAGTGAGAGAGCGAGCAGGAGGAAGAGGTGTGGAGGATGCTGCAAAGAGCAGCCAGGGAGGCCAGGGGCGAGGCCATGAGTGTGGGGCTGTGAGTGGCCCTCCGTATGTAATCTGTTGGGGGTCAGGGGGATGAGGACAGTTCAGTGACTGTGAGACTTGACACCATGGAGGTCAATGGTCATGTCGTAGTACCTGTGGAGTGGTTTAGACAGACAGTCAAGGAGAATTTGTGAAGCAAGGAAGTGAAGACAGATTTTTTGAGAAATATTATTACTTAAAGAGGCAGAGAAATGGGACCAGAACTGTAAGGCCAGTTGTCACCCTGTGAGATACTAAGCCAAACATTTTACATAAGTGTTCAGTTTCATTTTCACAAAATTCCAGTTTCCATTTTACAGATGGAAAATGAGACACAAAAAGAATAATCATCGCCCAACATCAAACAGTTTATAGCTGGTAGAGCTGGAGTTTGAACCCAGGCTTCTCTGACTCCAGATTCACTCAACTAGCTAAAGCTTTAGTGTAGGCTATACATTACTCCTCTATAAAGAGAGAATTCATTCAAATTTTCTGGTAACTAAAATATGTATGCTTGACTAAAATATTTATTTGAGAATTATACAGCAAGATCCAATAGGGCATGAACTTTGTAGAAAACTTTAAAAATAGCCAATCAAACTTACTTCATTATATTTTTCCTAGAGAAGTATTACTTAGGCACAATTAAAATGAAACTCCTGACAGAGGAAAAGAAGAGAGAGGAGAGAGATCACAGTTTTACACATTGTGCTGAGAAATAAGAGACCGTCCCACATGCTGGCTAATCCAGTCGAAATAATTGGCCACTTTGGTGTAAACGCCTGGGAAATCCGGTTTTCCACAGTTTTCACCCCAACTCACAACCCCCCAAACATAGGCCACGTTGTTAATATCCATGCAGACTAAGGGGCCTCCAGAGTCCCCTTTACAGGCATCAATGGAGCCATCATCTGTACCTGAAGAAAAGAGAAGAAGAAAATGACACATTTCCTTCCATTTGTCAAAGGTGCCATGCCATCTTCTACCTCCTCCAACAATGCGTGTGACAGCTTAGGCTTTCTTACACTTTCCTGACGGGAAATAACACGTGCTCCCTTACAGGCAGGCCCCTGCTAGGCCCGTGAAGCTGGAGAAATGCAAGCTGGGGGATACTTGATAAATCCTCCAATTATTCCCCAAGTTTAGCAAGTGCCCTCCACCCCCTTCTACTTTATGCAACTGTTTATTGTGTTGAGATAGCAACCTGAAAGCAGCATCAAAAACTGAGTGAGAAGATAATAGGAATACCTAATGCTTACTGAGTGCCTAATATGTATTAGTCATTCATTGTTTTAATCCTCACCATAACCCTACGAAGCGGGTATCATTATTATCCCTACTTTATGAACCCTGCAGCTGTTGCCATCGAGTCGATTCCAACTCATAGCAACCCTATAGAACAGAGTAGAACTGCCCCATAGAGTTTCCAGGGAGCAGCTGGTGGATTTGAACTGCTGACCTTTTGGTTAGCAGTCAAGCTCTTAAGCCATTTTGCCACCAGGGCTCCCCCTACTTTACAGATGAAGCAAGTAAGGCACAGAGAAGTTAACTAACTTGCCAAACATCATACAGTTAATAAGGGGCAGAGCCAGGCAGCCAGCCAGACCTTAGAGCTTGTCCTCTTAACTGTAATACTGCCTCCTGGCAGATTCCTGCCATTCTCCCCTCTTGTCCACTGTAATCTGAGCTCCATTTCAAGATGGAGAGGGCTTAGGGAGTGGTCTGTTTACTTTCTTCTCAATCCTATGGCTTTCCAAGATTCTTACTTCATTGTAAAAATCTTCCCCACGTCCAAGAAGTGATAGGATGGCAAAAACTCTGCCTTCTTCAGTAATTCACTAGTCAGAACTGTTTTCCAGCAAGCACCTAAATGCACCACTCTGGCTGATTGGTACCCTTCCTTTGGATCACCACCAAAAGTAGGAGCTGCTGTGCTTCTGTTAGTGGCAGTGACATTACTATGATAGAAACAGTGGCAGGTATCATAAGAGGTGCAATGTGATTTCCAAGGAGAAGAATTTACTTCTGACGGAAGGCATTTGAAACGAGATAATGTGGATTTTTATTTAGAAGAAGTTTTGATTTTGATCATGAATGCACCACTTCTTGTCTATAAGGTGGGGCAAATTACATAATTGCCCTGCATCTCCCTTTCCTCATCTATTGAGATCTCCAATTTTGTAGAAGACGAAACTTGGTCAAGGTCACAAGACTAGTAATTGGTGAAAACTGGGGTATAAACCCAGGCAACCTGGTTCCAGAGTCTGCTCTTAATTGCCTTCCTGTACTGCTACATAATAGCTTAAGAAAGGTTTTTCCTCTTGGTATCGGAATGAGGAATTGGAGCTGGAGGGAAAGGGACTGGAAAAATTTGACGATGCAACAAACAGAAGGGTCCAGGGCACAAGAGCACTAAGACGGTTGGGAGGAGGAGAGATGTTTGAGAGGAAGACCCTTAACGAGATGGGTTGACACAGTGGCTGCAACAATGGGCTCAAGTGTAACAACGATTGTGAGGATGGCACAGGAAGGGGCAGTGTTTCGTTCTGTAGCATACAGGGTGGCTATGAGTCGGAAACAACTCGACGGCACCTAACAACGACAACACATATCTCAGATAAACCACTAAATACTTACCTGCACATTGCATTTTTTTCTCATAGTAGCGATCTTGGTAAAACTTAGAGCAGTTGCCTATTAACTTAACTTCACCCCACTTGAGCGAATAGACTTTTTGGTTATCTAAACGAAGTGAGAAAACAAACAGACGTTTAGAAGTCACGAGTGAGAGATCTAAATGAATGCTTTCATTCTGAACACATACCAACTTATAAGGATGATTCATTAGCTTGTTCGGTCGTATATTACTCTTAACCCCAGTGTCTGTAAACGTCTTTCTAAAATTGCATGTGTAGTCAAGGAGAATTATTTACAGGTATGGTCTGAAGTCATCCTTAACGATCTCACCCTCATTTAATAATGAGCTGGGTAACTTTAGATGAATGAGATAGCAAGCCTTCCCTCTGGTTGCTTAGTCCAGTAGGGGAGTTGGATAGTGTTATGGATTGAATCGTGTCCCCTCAAAATATGTATTATAAATTCCAACCCGTATACCTGTGGTAAGGAGCCCTGGTGGTGCAGTGGTTAAGTGCTCAGCTGCGAACCAAAAGGTCAGCAGTTAGAACCCATTAGCCTCTCCTCAGGAGAAAGAAGTGGCAGTCTGCTTCTGTAAAGATTAAAACTAAAAACCCGTTGCTGTCAAGTTGATTCTGAATCATAGCAACCCTACAGGACAGAGTAGAGTTGCCTCATAGGGTTTCCAAGGAGCGGCTGGTGGATTTGAACTGCCAACCTTTTGGTTATCAGCCTGAGCTCTTAACCAGTGCACCACCAGGGCTCCTCCATAAAGGGTACAGCCTTGAAAACCCTATGGGGCAGTTCTACTTTGTTCTATAGGGTCGCTATGAGTCAGAATCGACTTGATGGCAATTGGTTATACCTGTGGTTACAACCATTTGGGAATGAGTTTTCTTTGTTATGTTAATAAGGCAGTGTTACTGTAGGCTGTGTCTTCAGTCAGTCTCTTGAGATATAAAATTAGCAGATTAAGAGAGCGGAGATGGGGAAAGATAGATGTCACACCACATGCAGATCACCAAGGAATAGAGGAACAAGGACCTTCCCACAGAGCCAACAGAGATAGAAAGCCTACCTCTAGACCGGTCCCTGAATGTGGACTTCTGACCTCCTAAACTGTGAGAGAATAAATTTCTGTTCGTTAAAGCCATCCACTTGTGGTATTTCTGTTATAGCAGCAGTAGATGACTAAGACAGATAGGAATCAGTGATTTCAGTCTTCTTGCATAAATGCCTCCTTTGTTTTCTTGAAATTGCTTGTTGGAGTGAAAATGGCTTTTTAGTATTAGAAATTAGAATAAAGGAAATATACACGAAGTTATCAGTGTATACCTGTTTTTGTATGCTTGGGAGGAAATCCATCACCTAAGTGATTTGAAAGTGATTGAAAGAGAATTCAGGATTTTTGTCTCATTTAAGTTAGAGATTTGGGTCGTGAACATTTTTTGGTCCACGGAGAGAGAAGGGTCAGGTACTGTTGACTGACAGACCAGGGAAGATGAGAAAAACATGATACAGGATGAGAAGATGTCTCAGCGGTAAAGAGGAAATCTTCACCTCATCTCCCTCCTCCTTTTCCCCAGCTCCTGGTCATCATTACTCTGTCATTTCTTATTCAGTGTCACTTCCTCCCTACACAAAGTTCCAGAAGAGCAGGGGCTGGGCCTGACTCGCTCACTGCCACACCATCACCCAGCATTGTGCTAGCACCAAATAGCTGCTCAATAAGTATGCATGTGGTTAATTAATGAATGAACTCACAGTAATTCAATGATATACAAAGTATCTTATGTCCAATGACCTGACCTCTCAATTAACCTGTGTACTGTTTGAGGACAGAGACTGCTGGGAGGACATCACCACTGTTCCTTGCACTGTAGTGAGCACATAGTTGCTAAGCACAGAACTAATATCCTTCCTCTCTAAGACGCAAAGGAGATAAAGATCCACCAAAGTATATAGCAAATCAGGAAAGAGGGTTTTTTTTTTTTTTCCCCCTCTTCAAACCCCACTTCAAATTAGTCTCAAGACGGCTGTCTTCTTCAGGACAAGAGCTTTGATTTCTTGACTGCTACTTCCATGGGCATTGATTGTGGATCCAAGTAAAATGAAATCCTTGACAACTTCAGTCTTTTCTCCTTTTATCATGATGTTGCTTATTGGTCCGGTTGGGAGGCTTCTTTGTTTTCTTTATGTTGAGGTGCAATCCATACTGAAGGCCGTAGTCTTTGATCTTCATCAGTAAGTGCTTCAAGTCCTCTTCACTTTCAGCAAGCAAGGTTGTATCATCTGCATGTCGCAGGTTGTTAACAAGCCTCCCTCCAATCCTGATGCCACATTCTTCTTCATATAGTCTAGCTTCTTGGATTATTTGCTCAACATACAGATTGAGTATGGTGAAAGGATACAAACCTGATGCCATACCTTTCCTAACTTTAAACCACGCAGTATTCCTTGTTCTGCTCGAACAACTGCCTCTTGGTCTATGAACAGGTTTCTCGTGAGCACAATGAAGTGCTCTGGGTTTCCCATTCTTCACAGTGTTATCCATAATTTGTTATGATCCACACAGTTGAATGCCTTTGCATAGTCGATAAAACACAGGTAAACATGTTTCTGGTATTCTCTGTTTTCAGCCAGGATCCATCTGACTTCAGCAATGATATCCCTCATTCCACATCCTCTTCTTAATCCAGCTTAAACTGCTGGAAGTTCCCTGTCGATGTACTTCCGCAACCTTCAGCATAATGCTCAAGGAAGACCACTTTTTACTAATTAAGCTAAACTATTGTTTGGTTTTAAGAAGACTTTAGGGGATATTTTTGGTTTAAGGTTTAAAGATTATCTGAGGGCAATAGTTTCAGGGATTCATCCACCCTCCATGGCTCCAGGAAGTCTGGAGTCCAAGAGAATTTGAAATTCTGTGCTGCATTTCCTCCCTTTTGATCAGGATTTTTCTATGGAATCTTTGATCAAAATATTTGGTATGGTAGTTGGGCACTATCCAGTTCTTCTGGTCTCATGGCAAAGAAGGCAGTTGCTCATGGAGGCAATTAGCCACACATTTTATTTCTTCTTCCTATTTGTGACCCTCCTTCTTCCTCTGTTGTTCCAGGTGAATAGAGACCAATTGTTGTGCCTAGGATGGCTGCTTTCAAGCTTTTAAGACTCCCAGGCACTACACAACGAACTAGGAGATAGAACAGAAGAACTAAATACATTATTAGGTATGGCCAACTGATTTTTGACAAGGATGCTAAGTCCAGTCTATGGGGAAGGAAGAATCTCTTCAATAAATGGTACTAGGAAAATTGGATTTCCACATGCAGAATAATTCATCAGGATCTGTGCCTCACACTATACACAAAAACCAATTCAAAACGGATCAAGAATCTAAATGTGAAAATTAAAACCATAAAATTCTTAGAAGAAAGTTTAGGGGCAAAGCTGTGGGACCTAGTGTTTAATGATAGACTGTCAGATATGACAACAAAAGCACGAGTAGCAAAAGACAAAATAGATAAACGGGACCTCAGAAGAATTAAATACTTTTGTTCATCAAAGGACTTTATCAACAAAGTGAAAAGACAACCTACAGATTGGAGAAAATATTCAGGAACCATATATCTGATAAAGGTATAATATCCAAAATACGTAAAATACTTCTACAACTTAACAACAAAAAGACAATCCAATCAAAAAATGGGCAAAGGAGTTGAACGATATTTCACCAAAGAGGATATTCAAATGGCCAACAAGTACACGCTCATTATCAGCCATTAGCGAGATGCAGATAAAAACCACAATGAGATACCACCTCACCCTCATTAGAATGGCAATCTTAAAATAAAATAAAATAAAATAAAACAACAGATGTTGGCAAGTTTGTGGAGACACTGGAACCCTCATCCATTGCTGGTGGGAATATAAAATGGTACAGACACTGTGGAAAACAGTTTGGTGGTTCCTCAAAAAGCTGAACGTAGAACTACCATATGACCCAGCAATCCCAATCCTAGGTATATGCCCAAAGAAGTGAAAGCAGAACAAAAACAGAAACTTGTATACAAATGTTCATTGCAGCACTTTACACAACCAAAATGTCCATCAACAGATGACTGGATACACAAAATGTTATATATACACATACAGTGGAATATTACTCAGGCATAAAGACAAATGAAGTCCTGGTGCATGCCCCAACATGGATGAACCTTGAAAACATTATGCTGAGCTAAATATGTCAGTCACAAAAGGACAAATCCTGTATGATCTCACTTACATGAAATAAGCATATATGGCTCTTAGAGTGAAGACCACAGCAGTCATTATCCTGACTCTTAAAAGCTGACTTCATCCTCACATTGCATTGCATGTATTTATTCATATGCCTTTCTTCCTGCTAGACTTGAAGTCAGATAGAGTCATACTCATCTATGTAGCTCCAGTGCCTAGCATTGCACGTGGAGCAGAATGGCGTTAAAAATACCGTTGAAATGGTGAATGAGCTAAATACATACATAAATATACAAAGCCCAAAGATCATTAATTATTAATAGGGTTGGCAGGGAAAACCCTGGTGGCCCAGTGGTTAAGAGCTATGGCTGCTAACCAAAGGTTGGCAGTTCAAATCCACCAGGTGCTTTTTGGAAACCCTATGGGGCAATTCTACTCTGTCCTATAGGGTTGCTACGAGTCAGAATTGACTCAAGGGCAACAGGTTTGTGTTTTTTTGGTTTGGGGTGGAAGGGAGGGGGAAAGGTGGAGTTTTTGCCTGGGGGGCATTGAGTTTATGTTAATGGGGTGGAAAACTTTGGAAAAGGATAGTGATAATGGTTGCACAACATGAAGAATGTAATCAATGTTGTTGCATTGTAAATGTAGCAATTGTTGTATTGGTGAATATTTTGGTGTGTATGTTTTCACCACAATTACAAAAGAGAGATAGAGAAATTATAAAACACATACCTTTTTCTCTGCCCCAGCCAGACACGACGCATTTATCATTGGGTTGAAAGAGATATGGAGACCAGGGGACACAGGCAGGGATGGAATGATGCAGCTCACATTCTCTTTGGTTTGAATATTTTTTCATTTCAATCAAAGCTATGTCATTTTCATAGGTGGCTCCATTGTAGTTTTCATGGATAATCACTTTATTCACCCAAAAAACTGTTAGCTCAGAGTTAGGTTTTAACCAGTCTAGGAATGCTGTCCATATTTGGTAACGGTGAGCTTTACTGACTCTATAATGGAAAGGAAACGGGAAATAAATTATATTGAGGGAAAAAACAATATAAACATGGATCTCTGACACTTTATTTTTATCTTTTCCCTTTTAAAAGACCCTTTTCATGTTCCCATATTTTTCTATTCTTGTTGCCATGAAGCAAGGAGATTAAATTTATTTAGGGTAGAATTATGTCCAATGGGCAAATAAATAGAGGAATAATCCATCTAGCTGCTCCGTATCAGGAACATAAAGAACTCGCTAACAGTGAGAGATGCCCAGAAGTAGAATGAGGTTGCTGCCTCTAGAGTGAGCACCCTGCCACTGAAGGTGCTTATGCAGAGTGCAGACAGCATCTTTCCAGAAGTGTGTTATAGGAAATGGGGAGTTGAACCGCATACTCTTTCGTTACTCTGCCAATCCGAGAGGATCTTAGGGTGAAGACCATAGAAGTCATTTATCCTGACTCTTAAAGGCTGGCTTCATCCTCACATTGCATTGTGTTTATTTATTCATATGCCTTTCTTCCTGCTAGACTTGAAGTCAAGGATGGGGTCATATTCATCTAGGTAGCTCCAGTGCCTAGCATTTCACGTGGAGCAGAATGGCGTCAAAAATCCTGTTGACATGGTGAATGAGCTAGATATTGCCTATTCAATGCCGCACTCCATTTTCATACCAATTTTCAAAATTGTGACTCTACCATCATTTTCTCAGGGAACAGTAGGTAGTCACTTCAGTGAAGTATAGCTTTGTTTTTTTTGTTTTCTTTTGTTTTTTCCTTCTTCTTTTGACAGTTCTTATTAGTTGCGGTTGAGTTGGCCCTAAAACTGATGACAGCCTCATGTGTGCAGAGCAGAACTGCTTCATAGGGTTTCATGGCTGTGACTTTTTGGAAGCAGATTGCCAGGCCTTTCTTCCAAGGTGCTTTTGGGTAGGTTCAAACTGCCGACCTTCCAGCCAGTAGTCGAGTGTTTAACTGTTTGCACCATCTGGAGACTCCCTTTTTTTTTTTTTTAATTGTTGTGCTTTAAGTGAAAGTTTACAATTCAAGTTAGTCTCTCATACAAAAATTTATACATACATTGTTATGTGATCCT